GCCTAACCATCCTTGAAATTCACATTTGCCCTTTGACTCAAGGATACTCGTGGCAATGTGGCGTAGCGGTTAAAGTGTCGAGATTACTTGCTGCACCGCCATGGTTCGAGTCCCGCTGGGGTCGCTGATAGGTCTTAGACAAGGTCGAAGCGACATTCCACTCGAGCTTGGATGACAACATCTTTTAAGAAAGCAAGGCTTTATGAAATTCAATGGACACGTTAGCTCAATTCACGCGATTGTGGGAACATTTAGCTTCCACTCCTTCCTCGCCTTAAACGAAATAGGGTGAATTCACCTCAAATATATATCCATTTGTCTATATCCATCTGCATCTAAGCATTATTTTTATGAGTTTATACTTAATGTAGGACAGAGCCGATCAGTCTTTTTAACTTGTTGTTAAATTTAGGGCTTTCGCAAAATGGGTCCTTGCTCTGGTGGTATTGGTCCTTTGACGAACGGAAGCTCAATCCGTTTTGGTGCGAAACGAGGCAGGACATCCCGACTTGAAGGTCGTATTAAAGCCAAACACGACTGCAGAACGATGCAAATCAGCCGCCGTCTTCTAGTCAAATCGACCTTTGAAGCTCTTCATCAGACACATGTTCATACCAAATGAAAGTCTTCACCTCGAGGCTGATATCGTTCATGACTGGCAATCCATCAAGCCTCAGTCCATTGAGTGATGTCTCAAACCTGATGATTCACTCACCTCCACTCTTGATCAGAACTAATCCGGAGGGTCCAGTCACTTTTGCTCGAGGAAAGATGGCCCATCGGTGGCTCAAGTGGGCATCCTCCTTCTTTATGGACACGCACACTCGTTGGTCAGACAGTCGAATCGGCCACGGAAGGTAAAGTGAAGAGCTGAGTCAGCCGAGGGGTGAAGACGGACGCAGAGCAACGTCTGCAAGTAAGGATGAACGAAAGGGTCTAGTTGCTGAGACCCGGCTGTCAGGACCAACTTGACCGAGAAGTGTGCCAGATACCTTTGGCGTGTGAATAAAGCGAGGCACAAGCAGATGAAATGGAGGCCAACTATCAGTTCAACTGTATGCCTCAATGCAGGAGTTAATAGCGCGTTGTGGGGCGGATTCTGTAAATATTGTTGCTAGTCAGTGCTTGGAAATGCCGGCCTGTACCGACTTGACCTCAGTACTTATAAGGCCGTGGAGGGAAATGAGTCAGAAAAGCAAAGTTCTGCATTCAGGTGATATTGTTGAAAATGTATGAAGGTGTATCTGATGAAAAGATTCAAAGGTCGATCTCACCACAAGACGACGACTGATTCCGATTGTTCTACAGTCGTGTCTTGTGGCCCCACTACGACACAGTCAGCAAACGGTTGCAGTAGAACTGAGTGGACAAGATTTGTGTGCAACACGAGGTGAGACCAACAGAGTCTACCGCGGAATGAGACTGCGGCCAAACTGAAAGATGTCTTCTATTGTTCTCGCAGTAGAAGGCTGAGCTATTGTTGAAGGGAGCTAGCGGTTGTGGAGACGAGTGGTAGAACATGGAGACACAGAAGACGAAAGGGCAGACGGAGTTGCGATCTACGAAGATATTGAAGCAAAAACGTGGCGAGAAAAGGAACAAAGGAGCAGAAAATGTAGCAAAAAAGAAGGAAGTTCGGTAGACAAACGGGGCAGGAGAGGTTGCGAGAAAAAATGAATTTGGGAAAACGAAGCATCAGAAGACAAAAGAGCAGCGAAAATGGTAGAAAAAGCAAGAGCAGAAGAGAACTGCGGAGCACGAAGCGGCGAAAGATGGAGTGGCGAAATGCACTCGCTCGTCGAGCCAGCCACAGTCAAATTCAAGTCGGCCCGATCAATAATGGAGCGCGCAGCCCACTCAGCAAGACGGCATGCCTTGGGCGGACAAGAGCCGTTCAATCGATGACTCGCTTTTCCAGCCGGTCGCTTAAACTTCGGCTCGTCGAGTTGGCCTGCTGTGTTGGTGTGTCCCACAAGGCGGACCGACGCGAGCGAACTGATGCGCACGCACACGCGCACGTGCGTGTGTGTGTGTGTGTGTGGCGTAATTGGGCAGGGATGAGTCATCGCCGGTGGCCTGCGCGCGCGTGAGTCCGTGAGCCGTCTCGCGGCCGACTTCCGGTCGGGCTGCTTCGTCGCGGCGTCACGTCGTCTCGGTCGATTCGACTGGCCTTTCTCGCCGCCGAGGCGAGACGGCTCAGCCTCGACGTTGTCGCGTGACGCATCGCTTCGCCGAGTCGGTCGAGTCGGCCATTTGGTGCCGAGGTCAAGTGAAGGCTGTGTCGAGGCTGGTCGGGCCGAAAATGGATGCATTTTGGGCGGGAAAATGGCGAACGAAGAGGCGAAAAAAGGGGAAATGTTCGCTTTGACACGACGCGCGAGCTTTGGCGCAATTGCGGCATGAAGAAAGTTGAGCAAGTTGATCCATCGTGGCTGTTGCGTCGGCGACAACTCTGGCAACAGGCCGGCTGGTTGTGAGGCCGGTCGGGGTCAAAGGTCAAAGATGGCGGACAGTGAGCGGGAAGTGGACCAGAATTTGTCGTTTTGATGGTCAAATCGAGAGATTAGGCGAAGCAGAACAAGCCCACAAACCAGACACCAAAAGACATCCACACAGACACACAAAAAGTTCGTCCTGGCAAGTGGCATCGGAGACTGAAGCCGGATTTGGCGCAAAAGTCGTCTGTCCGTCGTCCAGTCGCTCCGGGCAACTTGAACGCATTCAACGAAAGCACATCTTCGGAGCGTGAAAGATCTCAACTGGAGGCTCCTACAATTTGATTAGGTTGGCAGATGGACAGTCTTTGTGCACGATAGACAGGACGAGACAAGTGGGTTGACCTCGTTGTCGCAACTTGGTCTTGTGTTCAGGGAGACTATGTAGAACGCACCGAGTC